TACTTTAGAAAATATTTACAGCATGCAGTTACTTTCCAGGATCTGTCATTAAGGAATATTTCTATTCTTCAAGCTAACATAAAATACATTTACCTGTTTTTTTCTACTTGACCAACATTAATAGATTCAAAGCATCCTATTACCTGGCCACATCCAGGGGCAGTGCATAAAAAGGGTTTGTCATCACTCATATTCCACAGGTCCTTGTACTACCTAGGTTGAAATGATAAAAAAACAAAAACCCTCAAAATATCTGTAGTAATTGCAACAAGTTACCAATACATCAATCTCCAAAGCCCAGGTTGGAAGCATTACTAAAGAACTAGCAAGGCTAGGGATGTAAAATCCTGGTTAATCAGTTCACTGGTTAAACATTAGGTTAACTCAGTGCTTTTTTTGTGATGGTATGCCCCAGCACGGCGTACTGGCACCTATTTTACCATCTTACTTGAACTGAATGGGATTTCCCTCTGGCGTTGTGGCATGTACTTCCTGGGATGGCTCCCAACGTAAGCCCGCCCAGGACACATGGCTCTTAAAGGGGCTGCAACAGCATTTTGACCCCAGCTCAGCTTTTTTTTTTGCTCAACAAATCCCTTTGCTCCCCCCAACAACTTTGAGCCTGGAGCACCAACACATTTTTTCTTATAAAAAAAGCACTGAGTTAACGTAAGGTTTAACTGGTTAAATGACTAGCGGGATCTCACCGCTGCAGTCCCCCAGATCCTGGGGCTCCTGCTCTTGGCCCTTGCTCTGGGGCCTGAAAACTGGTTACCCATTCACATCTCTAGCAAGAACCACCCTCTTCTGCTTGCAGTGAGCTAAGTTTTTGATAATACAGTTGAACACATACAAAATGGGAAACAACTATCTAGGAAGGAGTATTGTGGAAAGGGATCTGGGGGTCATAATAGATCAGAAGCTAAATATAAGTTAATAGTGTAACACTGACAGTAAAAAAAAGAGCTAATTTTAGGGATATATTAACAGAAATGCTGTGATCAAGACACAAGTAGTAATTATTCCGCTCTACTCTGTTCTAATTAGGCCTCAACTGTAGTACTGTCTCCAGTTCTGGGTGCCACATTTCAGAGAAGATGTGGACAAACTGGAGAAAGCCCAGAGAAAAGTGTAACAAATGATTAATGGTCTTGAAAATATGACCTATGAGAGGACACTAAAAAATTGGGTTTGTCTAATCTGGAAAAGACGACTGTGAGGGGCTAGAATAACAGTTTTCAAGTACATAAAAAATTGTTACAAGGAAGAGGGCAGTAAACTGTTCTATTTCACTTCTGAGGATAGGATAAAAAGCAATAAGCTTAGCCTGCAGCAACGACAATTCAGGTTCGACAGCAGGAAAACCCTTTTAATTGTTGGGATAGTTAAGCACTGGAAAAAAATGCCTAGGGATGTTGTAGAATTGCCATCATAGGAGGTTTATAAGAGCAGATTAGACAAACACCTGTCAGGGATGGTGTAGATAATGATTAGTCCTGTCATGAGTGCTAGGGACTGGACTAGATGACCTCGAGGTCCCTTCCAGTCCTACAGCTCTATGATAATCAATGAAATAAAATGTCAACACATATGGCTTTAAGGATACATTTTCCAAGTCCCAGATATCAATATACAAATCCATCCAAATAGGTACATGTAATGGAGTTTGAGCATGCATCTCACTTTGAAAGACAAATTTAAAAAAAAAAGCCACCTGTATGTAATATATAATTGTAATATGTACAATACATCATATATAATACATAATATATAATGTATATTCAACAAAATATCACTGAAGCATTTTTTAATCACTGGAATAAAAATATATTGCAAATGCATATTTTTACAAATACAAAAAATTAGCAAAGCATATAACACCCAAAGACAACTGCTAAGTACCACTAGGCCATGGAAAACAACTCATTCCCCAATTCCTTATCTACCTTTAAAGGAAGTCAGTAGATTAGAAATGCCTATGCACATCTCTACAACAGAGAAGTCTTTTTCATACATATTTATAAAAATATATATATTTCAATACCACTTCAGAAATCCTATAATAAAAACAATAATATTTACCTAGAGACTTTATATATGTACAGTAAGTCAGCAGAAGATCAAAACATCACTTCACTTAGCAATACTCTAAACAGAGGCAAACACATACACACACATCTATACCTGGTAGATTTCATATGTAAGCCAAATTTCATAGGGTGAATAGTTTATCACATTCTCCTTTTCATGGCAATGAACTGTAATTAAAGAAAACCATTATTGTGCAAGCTAAATAAACAAAATGAAGTTATTCCTTTGTAATGTCTTTTGGATACATTATATAATACCATTCATTACCCTGGATCAGGTTTGGATTACACTGAACACTTCCCATTTGTGCATATATTTGATTTGACAGCTCCATAATACAGCCTTCCTTCGCAGTACTATTTTTCACTTTAATAGATAATTTCATGCAAGCATGACCGAAGCTGTTATATCGATCTCATTCCAGTGCAGACAGAAATATGATTGGAGGGCTTTTCACGCCGACATATCTAGCAAACTCTGCCAAAAGGAGCTGCTCTCCTGTCGGAATAGGTAGTTTCTTTACTAAGTGCTATTGCTGCTACACTGTAAATGTAGATAAGCTTCCAATTTCCTTAAGAGCCACTGGTGAGGAATCTTGTCAAAGGCTTTCTGATATTCCAAGCTCACTATATACAGTACATAGAATCGCTCTTATCCACATGCTCATTGACACCTAAAAAGAATTTTAATAGATTGATGAGACACTACTTCCTTCTGCAAAAGCCATAATAACTCTTCTCCAATAAATCATGTTTATCCTTACCTGAAAATTCTGTTCTTTACTATAGTTTCTACCAATTTGCCCAGTACTAAAGTTAGGCTCACAGGCTGTCAGGATCTCTTCTAGAGTCCTTTTAAAAAATTGCTGTTATGTTAAGCTGTCTTCCAGACATTTGGTAGAGAGGCTGATTTTAGTGATAGGCTACATACCACAGTTAGTAGCTCACAACTTAATATTTCAGGTCCCTCAGAACTCTTGAGTGGATACAATCTGGCCCTGGTGACCTATTACTGCTTAATTTATCAATTTGTTCTAAAATCTCTATTGACACATCAATTTGAGACACTACAGGCAGTCCCCGGGTTACGTAAAAGATAGGGACTGTAGGTTTGTTCTTAAGTTGAATTTGTATGTAAGTCGGAACTGGTACATATTGTAGGGGAAACTCTAGCCAAACATTTCTCCAGAGCTCAGTTTTATTCTCCCACACCTCACTTCCCTCAGTCCTTTATTCTCAAGCTGAGGTGTCTGCTGAGAAAAGCCGCTCCGCGTCTCCCTGGTCTGCTGGGGGGGGGCACTAGCTTCGCGTCTCCCTGATCTGCTGGGGGGAAGCAGCTAGTGCGGGGTTGCCTCACCCCGTTTGTAAGTAGGGATCCGATGTAAGTCGGATCCATGTAACCCGGGGACTGCCTGTACTTCAGCTATGCCATCCAAAAAGACTAGCTCTGATGTGGGCATCTTATACATCCTCTGCAGTGAACAGAAATGCAAAGAATTCATTTAGTTTCTTCACCATTGCCTTGTCTTGAGTGGTTTGCCAACACAGGAGTTTCATTACTGTCTATATTTACATGAAGGCACTATATAAAAGGACAATCCACAATTCTTTAATTAATCTAAAATCTTAAAGATGTGATGAAAAAAAGCCAAAACAAAAATATGATAAAAGAACAAAACTCGGACTATTTCTAACAAAATTTCTCTTAAATGGATCCCTGAAAGTATCATGATATCAAAGAAAAGATCTACTTATAAAGATAGTTCTGAATTGGTTAAACTGAAGTAAAAGACAGTTAAAAAAAATGTAATGGTGAAGCCAGAAGAAAAGAGTGCATGGTGAAAGAAAATAAAATTGTATTGCTCCCAACCAAAAGATTAGTAAAAAAAAAAAAAATTAAAAAAAAATACACCATTTATAGGTAAAGCCCCCTTCTCTAGCCACTGTGGCAGGTGGGAGGGGTTGCTCCAGCCCAGCAGGCTGGAACACCTTGCTCCCCTTCCCCATCCATCCTGGTTTAATCAGCTAACCCATTAAACTTAACATTTAACTGGTTAACTAAGCAGGATTTTACATCCCTATTCTCAAGTAAGTTCTGCATGTAAGAGACAGCATGGAAAAAGGTATGGAATCTCACACACATGAAAATCTGGCAAATGACTAACAGACTACTATAGTTATTCAAACAAAGAAGCCTTGTTTACTGTGATGAAAGACAAGTGAAAGCACATACAAAGGGCAAAATTTTGAAGGTTCTGCAGGTAAAGACAAGAAACTTGTCTTCGATGCAGTGAAACAGGAAAAAGATAAAGGACCAATGTACATGATCTTAGAAACTGTATTTTGTGTATCCTTTGGAATCATATGCCTGTTTCAGACATGTTACCCTAAGGCATTTGGTTTATGTGTGATAGAAGTAAACTAAAGAACCCAATCAACATAGGCAGCCAGAACAGGTGACCTTGATCATACCTCAATGCATAATGATGTCCCCAAAATTAGACTAGTTCTTGGACGAATATCGATTGGGCTTGTAGGAAAGAGATCTCATTTATCCCTTGCCCTCCTTTTCTCTGACCATAAGCAATCATTAAATAGATGTACAATAACTTAACTTTACCCACAACTGTAACTAAGAAAATAAGATTTTAAATGTATTTAAAATGTACTCATTTTAGTATGTACCCATTTGTCAGTTACCTTACCCATACAAAGTGACTTGCTACAGAATATAATTGAGCATGAGATCAAGCTATTGTGAATAACAGACAAGCTATGATCAATATGGGAAGGCATAATAGTGTAAGCATTTAAAAAACATTTCTCTAGATTTTTTCACCCTTCAAGTTCAGAAACATGGGTTGTTGTTTAAAAAAAACCAAAAACCAAAAAAAACAACAAACAAACAAAAACCCAGAACCTTATGTAGAATTCACTCTGCCAGGCAAACTCTTTTAAATTTGTTTCTCGGCCAGCTTTTCATTACCAGTGTAGGTGACACTTTAAGAAGTCTGAAGGGCAACAGTGCATCTCATCTACAAGAAATGCTGAAATGATTAATCATTTACAACATATAGAACTTACAATAATGATAGTTGATAAACTGTGTGTCATCTTCGGCCTTTTAACTACAGGGCAAATTTCACTCTACCAAATGAACAAGCTCAGAACACCTGTCCTGCAAGCAAAACATTAATACTTAATTGATCAAGATTATTATTTTGACCTAAGTAGAGTTCCTAGGCACTACCTAGATAATAAATATGACATTCTATATTATTGCAAAGCATAATCATTAAGCCCAAAGCATCTCCTCAAAACTTCTTAAAAAGGAAAAGGTGCAAATGGAAGTGGAGTGGACATTAGCTACAGTAATTGCTATACAGGCAGCCCCCGGGTTACGTACAAGGTGACTGTAGGTTTGTTCTTAAGTCGAATTTGTATGTAAGTCGGAACTGGTACATATTGTAGGGGAAACTCTAGCCAAACATTTCTCCAGAGCTCAGTTTTATTCTCCCACACCTCACTTCCCTCAGTCCTTTATTCTCAAGCTGAGGTGTCTGCTGAGAAAAGCCGCTCCACGTCTCCCTGGTCTGCTGGGGGGAAGCAGCTAGTGCGGGGTTGCCTCACCCCGTTTGTAAGTAGGGATCCGATGTAAGTCGGATCCATGTAACCCGGGGACTGCCTGTACTGTATTTCAAGTGTTTACGTTTTAAAGATTTTTAATTTTATGTCTTGCAGTTCACTTCAAAATCCATTAGTCTCTCATTCTTTTTTCCCCACCACTATGGGTGGCAGCCCTTAACTGAGAGTTATGATACACTGAAAATGTAAAAGTGAATGTTACTTCTGAATGCAGAAACTGAACGCCTCTTTGAACCATTAGGCTACATAAAAAATAATGCAATATACTATGTGCACTGCTGACTGTTAGTAGCCCACTTGGTCTGCATTGCTGTTATAATTCATTAATTTGTTTATATACACTGAAAAATTATCCTAGATTTAATAACAAATGTTTAATGTAGACTCCTTGGATTTAAAGAGGCATTAAAATGTATCTTTAACTGTTTATTGTACAACATTAAAAATAAATATTAAACAGGTAAGTCACAGCAGGCAAGGAAAAATGGTCACTTAAAAATAGAGAGGCATCATTTATATATTTAACGTCTGCATTGTTTTCTTTACATCATCTTTTCTCATATAAGAATACTAGCACATTTACCATTGTTCGGGTCCTTAAAGAGGGGTTCAAGGCAGGGGGCTAGGGATGTAGAAGGTACAAAAGTCAGGATTGAGGAGGGGCTCTTGGCAAAGGACTGAATGTGTATGTGTAGTACGGTAGGTAGAGGATGGGCAGGGGAGTCAAAGTCCCATTCCCTCTGAGATTTGTAGCAGGGGATGCTTGCTCTTCCCCTTTCTGTCCCTGTCAGGGAACAGTGAAGTGCACAACTTATCTGCCCCTTTGTTCCCTAGCCCAAGTGAGGAACGCAGAAAACTGCACTTTCCCCTTGCTCCCTGACAATGACAAAGGGAAACAACTAGCAGTGTCCCCGCAGCAACCGGTTGGGTATGTGTATGGAGAGCGCTCCCACCCCTGCCTCGTCAAAGGCACCAGCAGGGGTGGGAGGTTTGGGGGCTCAGGCAGTCCTGGACAGAGTGGGGACATGCTCCCACCCAGGCCCTTTCACCTTCTCTCTCTTTTCCATATGGTTTTATGAGAAGCAAGCCCATTCCAGACACATCTCATTTGTGTTAAGTTATGATAAGAGAAAGCTGTATACTGAATTCAGTGGTCCTAACTCTTACTGTTGAAAAGGAGTTCTTGAACAAAGTGACAAACTCTCTAAAATATATATTAGATAAATGTATCAATATATAGTTAGGTGACTGACAATAATATAAGCACTGGCAAACTTTTAGAGTAAAAAACTGAGAACAGGAAACTATGTTTATTCAAAATATTTATTTAAAATTATGGTATTAATTTTGTTCTGGTCCAATGTTAACATGAGGAATCATAGAATACTAGGACTGGAAGGGACCTCAAGAAGTCATCGAGTCCAGCCCCCTGCCCTCCTGGCAGGACCCAGATGTTAGTTTGCATGGGGTTAATGGGCAAAGGTGGAAGAGAAAGGTTCAGGTTTTTTGTTTACCAGATTAATTATCTAAAGTTAAAAGTAGTATCTTGTTCTAGAGCCCAAAAACTCAAGACAAATAAAATATGAGAGAGATTTCTAAATGTTAGATCAGTTGCTACATGTTTATACTTTCTGGGTGAGAGTTTTAAAAGTAATCCACTTTAATCTTAGTTCCCACTTATTCTTTCACTTGGTATACGAGTTGGCAGATGGAAGTCTCATAAATTAAACTACTTAATAAATAATGAAAAACACAGCTGCACTGACCTGAAGGGGCTGGAACAGCTTCTCTTAAATTCCTAAAACACAAGAAGAAAATTGAAATAAAATGAAGTGTATTTACTGCTTCATGTATATAGAAAAAGCTCATCCTCAGCAAAGAAATGAGTAAATGACTCATTTTATAGAGCTTCAGGGGGTAGCCGAGTTAGTCTGTTACAGAAAAACAACAACAAATGGTCTGGTAGCACTTTATAGACTAACAAAACATGTAGACAGTATCATGAGCTCTTGTGGGCACAGCCCACTTCTTCAGATGGCTAGAGTCATCTGTTTATCACCACCATAGGATTTGAAACACAAAAGTGAAAATTAGGGATGTTAAAATGTACTTATTTTGTTAAACATGTACCTATGCATACCCGCTCCCATGGAGCCCCCTCAACTCTCCAACCCTGCTCTCCCCTCCCCACACCTCTGTCAAAATTCTGAGAAAGTATTTGACAGTCTGTATCAATGCATTTTCATCTCATATTCAAACTTAATGGGCACAGTAATTATTACTGGCTTCCAAAAATTGTTCTCTGACCCAGCTATATTATTTAAAAGACAGCTCCTGTGCTTTCCTTAGTACAGGATATGTTCCCGTGTACTAAAGCTTTTGTATGGGTGGAAAGGTGCTTAAATGACAATGTCTGTGGTGCATCAGAATCCCTGCACAAGTGGCTCTTCTGAGCCATCTTCTGTCCCCACAGAAAAGGGTAAAGACTTGGTCACTGATGCCTGTAAGACTATAAATAAGCTGAAAGCAAGGGTGGGGGAGGAGAGAAATGGCCCCTGCTGGCCATGGGGAAACCCCCCACCCTGAACCCCTCCTCACTCCCCAACCCTCATTCCTGCATGCAGTAAATCTCCTGCCCTCCTCCCATCTCAAAAGGCCCTGCCCTGAACCTTGCACCAGCCACTCCGTCTGCCCATTGCCCTGAAAGATCTGGATAAGGAATGGAAACTTGTCTGCAGACAGAAATGTTCTTAAAGTTAGGAGATTATGGCTTTGACTGTAGAATATAACAATGAAACAGACTACTTACAGAGGTCCTGGAAACTCCTTCACTGGAGGTTTTCATAAGGAGGCTGGATAGTCATTTGTCTACCATGGTTTAAACATGGTTTGCATCTTGAAACAGGGTTAAACTAAATGACTCATCCATCCCTTTTACCCCAAGGTTCTTTGATTCTATATCTAAAACATATGTTGATCAAGTTATATTACAGCAAGATATCATTAAGCACTGGCATAAACTATTCTTCCATCCACTTTGCTATTATCTCTTGATGGAGTGGATTTCCTACAGCAATTGAAAAACTCTTCTGTTGTTGTAGCAAGTGTCTAAAGGTTTGTCTGCTATGGAAAGCTACATCAGCATAGTTATGTCTCAAGGGTGTAAAAAAAACCCCACATGCCTAAGTACTGCATGTAAACAGTTCTAGGTCAATGGAAACATTTATCAATCTAGGGATGTTAACATGCACCCATGTACATGGTAGGGATATTAAGGACTAGTTGACTAGATGACTATCCGATAAGCAAATGCTTATAAAACAGGATAGTCAACTAGTTGCTTCCCCCCTTCTTCTATAGCAACCTCCCACCTGGATCCTAATACACTTTGAAATGCAGAGCCACAGAGAAGGTAGGTCCAGGACCCACTACGAGCTGGGACTGAGCTGGGCTGCTGGCCAGCCTGCTAAAAAATGTACTGGCAAGGGGTGGGAGGAAACGCATGTAGTCTGTAGCATTGACCTATAAGCTTTTGCCTATCGGTTAATCGACTATACTACTACATACCTAGTGTGTTCCCACCCATTCCCACAGGCCAGGCCAGGCGACCCCCACAAATACGCATAAAAGCGAATTGGGATTCCGTATCCGGTCTGCCGACAGTGGCCAATGCCAGATGCCCCAGTAGGAGTGAACACAACAGGGAATCATCACATGATCTCTCTCCTGTCATCCAATTCCAGACAAACTAAGGCTAAGGACACCATTCCTACCCATCCTGGCTAATAGCCATTGATAGACCTAACCTCCATAAATTTATCTAGCTCTTTTCTGAACCTTGTTAAAGCCCTAGTCTTCACAACATCCTCTGGCAAAGAGTTCCACAGGTTGACTGTGTGCTAAGTGAAGAAAAACTTCCTTTTGTTTATTTTAAACCTGCTACCTATTAATTTCATTTTGTGACCCCGTAGTTCTGATATTATGGAAACAAATAACTTTTCCTTATTCACTTTTTTCATACCAGTTATGATTTTCTAGACTTGTATCATACCCCACTTAGTCTCCTCTTTTCTAAGATAAAAAGACTGAGGACACATCTAGACTGCCCATAGCTTTCGAAATAAGATATGCAAATTTGGCACGAATTTGCATATCTTCTTCCAATTCCGTTTTTGGAAGAGTGTTTTTTTTTTAAAAAAAAAATGCAGTCTAGACAAGATATGCAAATTCATGCCAAATTTGGATATCTTCTTTTGAAAACCGAGTGCAGTCTAGACTTGCCCCAAGTCTTTTTAATCTCTCTTCATATGGGACCCATTCCAAACCACTAATCATTTCTGTTGCCTATCTCTGAATCCCCCATCTCTTTAAAATACAGGTTGTATCTCCCTGATCCAGCACTATCAGGAATTGACCAGTCTCATATGAGGTATTTTGTTGGCCCTGGGGAGGTTATTTCTGGCCTGCTGGTCAGCTCTCTCTCCCCACCTTCCAATGCAGCAGCAATACACAGCCCTGCTGGAGCCCACTGGCACTCCAGCCAACCTGTTGGCCTAGCTAGATTTGTGTGGCCGGGCCCCCAGCCACTGGCCCTCCACCAGGACTCTCTGGATCAAGAACATTTATGGTCCTGCTGCAATACCAGACCATCCTGATTGAAAAAGGTCCAACCTGTAGTAACATTTTAAATCAGAGTAATCATAGGTATTTTTTGTAACAGTAAAGATATTTCAGATAGAAGTTAGGGATTGTGAAAGTAGAAAGAATTATATTGGAAGAGAAGATTATGTTTATAGGTATGCAGCTCAGAATGAAGCCAGGTGTGCCTGGAATACAGGCAGTCCCCAGGTTACTCGGATCCATACATACGAACGGGGCTTTTCTTGCCGCGGAGGACGGGGGCAGTGGAACTGCCCAGACGTGCCGCGGTCCCGCTGCCCGCATCCTCCGCAGCGAGAAAAGCTGCTCCGCGTCTCCCTGGTTTGCTGGGGCGGCCCCTCAGCAGACCAGTGTAACGGGGGCCCTGCCTTCTCATTAATATGCACGAGCAGT